CTAATAAGCTAGAACTAAGGGCTTTTTCGAGCAAAACTAACAAAAAAATCGTTCTCAATCAACTCGGAATTAACTTAGTTTCCGTCGCTTCTAACATTTGTTCCCATAGATCCAAACATATACTACTAACCTAGTACGAAAAGATATAGTATTGGGGTTGCTAGATCTGCACAAAAGTCCTCAAAGAAATGATCACTAGATTGCAGAGAGTCGAAATGACAAATACTCATCCATTAAGATGTACCGCCAAATTTCTACTAGACCCAGGCACAAGTTCTTTTTCTGGCTTCTCCTACATGATAGAGCCAATACAAGAAACCTCTTAAGGAAGAAAAGTTTTTCCATGAATTGTTATAACTATGTCTTTTGCAATGAGAATGCATAGGAGGTGTTAAGACACCATTTTCAGGCCTGGTGTTTTGCACAAGACTGTTGGAGCAGTATCATCCCAAACATGAGGCTGGGACTTTCAATTTTTGATGGCATCCTTCTTGCTCAAAGCCTACTTCCTCCTAATAAGATTGCAATGGATATAATTATCCAAGGAAGATGGAATATTTGGTTGCAAAGGAATGAGAAATTATTCAGGCGAGAAGTACCAAGTGTTAGTTGCTGGAAATTCAGGCTCAAAGCTGATCTATTGCTGCTGGAGCACATGAAAGTCCAAGTACTTAAACTTCTTAAGGCGGTGAATAAACTTTCATGTAGTATGAGTGTTGTGACAGGAGCACTACATTGGTAATCTGATGATACCACGAGCAGGGATTGGTTAAGTTGGCTTCAGGATTTAATTTTCTTTCATATTACGTTTTCCCTGATTAATGAAAAATACGGTAGAAAAGATATAGTATTGCCATAGTCAATTAGAAAAGATATTGTTCTACGGTTTGTGCTTCAAAAATAAAAGATATAGTATTGCCATAGTTGATTAAGAATTTAACAAATTGTCCAGCGGTTTTCAGAATTTGTTTACATCTAAAATAAATGTTTAGTTTGTGGTCACAATTTGTTTATCTAGTGTAAAAAAACATAGTTATTTATTGTTGGAGTTTTTAAAGATATAGAACTTAGAGCAACTCTACAGAGTAGTCATGTACTCATATTGACAACATCCTTAGTCATATTTAGCGCCCTTCATATGAATTATGGAGGTTGCCGAGGTGATGCGCAAACACAGTCGCCATATGGTTGCTTTCATATTTGTGGGACCCATGTGTCAATGAGACTTCCTTTTTTCTTAATTAAAATAAAGATCTCATGTGAGGTGGGGTCCGCGTGAACTCTCCTTTCCGTCACACAGATCACATGCAAGATGCAACTGTCATATGAAGCGTGCTTCAAAAAGCTGCCCCCAGGACTCCTCCATAAATTATGAAGCTCGCAGGGCATATAACGACTATATCAATGTCATTTTAGCATAAAATAACCGTAATGCAATTATTATAATGATTGGGCCAATATAATGACTCTGCTAGAGATGCTTTTACAAAGAACTCAATATTGAATTGGCCGAGAACACCCACTTGACGCTGACGAAAAAACATATTGCTCACAGAGAGGACACGACAAAATTGACAAAATCAGAAATATAGCTGCGGAGAGTTTTTTTTTTTTTTTTGCTTATTAAGTGCATGCACTGCGTGAAGAGGGAATTAATAAGAAAGGAAAAAATTGGAAGGAAAAATAGAGGAGGAAATCACATTAGGAGAGTTATTACAAATTCGAGAAAGTATATGTAACGATCACGGATTGATTCATCAACTTGTAATACAAATACTCCAAAACCTTAGCAACGCGGTAGCAGCAACCCAAGCAACATAATCACATACGTTAGCGGTCATCGAATCACAGCGGTCGTGATCTCTAAACCGGCGATCATCGATACGATGGGCTTCCGAGCAGCTGAGACGACGATGAGGAAGGATCCGCCACAGTCTGCCGGCTCCGAGGGGCTGGTGGCGCTATCCGCCAGCCTCGCGCGGGGCATCGCCGGCAACCCCGTGGACAGCAATCTGGTCTTCTCGCCGCTCTCCATCTACACCGCGCTGTTGCTCGTGGCCGCCGGCGCCCATGGCGCCACCCTGGACGAGATCCTTCGCGTCCTCGGCGCACGGTCCCGCGGCGAGCTCGACGAGTTCGTCGCGCGTGCGGTGGGTGGCGCGTTGCAAGACCGGACGGACTCCGGCGGCCCGCGCGTGGCGTTCGCATGCGGCGTCTGGAGCGACCTGGCGTGCCCGCTCAAGCCCGGGTTCCTCAAGGCCGTCGCCGGCGGCGGGTACAGGGCCGAGGCCTCCACCGTCGACTTCCGCGGCGACCCCGACGGCTCGCGCCAGCTGATCAACACGTGGGCGGCGCGCGCCACGAACAGCCTGATCGACTCCGTCCTCGGCCCTGGGTCGGTGACCGAGTCCACCCGCGTCGTGCTCGGCAACGCCGTGTACTTCAAGGGCAAGTAGGACCAGCCCTTCGACGAGAGGAACACCGCCGACGCGCCGTTCCGCCGGGTCGGCGGCGCCCTCCCCGTCGACGTGCCCTTCATGCAGAGCTGGGATGACCAGTTCGTGGCCGTGCACGACGGGTTCAAGGTGCTCAAGCTTCGGTACAAGATGGTGGACGCGTTCCTGACGCGTGATCCCAGGAAGCCCGCCCCATTCTTTCCGAAGAGTGCTCCGCTCCTCCGTCCTGATCGATTCTCTCATGCCGCTTCACCTTCCCGCCATGGTTCCTACGGCCGCGCCGGTCCGTATCCGTACTCCAGCGGACATCCAAACGCATCTTCCAGCCTCGCCGACCCGTACGGCGACATTAACACGTATTCAACCGCGTCCTCCAGCTCCACACAGTTCTCCTTGTGCATCTTCCTCCCGGACGCCGACGACGGCCTGCGCAGCCTGGTCGACGCGATCGCTTCACGGCCGGGCTTCCTGCACGACCACCTGCCTCGCCGGAAGGTCGAGGTCGGCGAGTTCCGGGTGCCCAGGTTCAAGCTGTCCTTCCACGACAGCGTGGTCGACGTCCTCAAGGAGTTGGGCCTCAGCCTGCCGTTCAGCCCGCTGGGCGACCTGTCCGACATGACGGGGCCCGACGACTCCGGCTTCGGAATGGTCGTGGACGAAGTCGTCCACAAGGCGGTGATCGAGGTGAACGAGGAGGGCACGGAGGCCGCGGCCGTCACCATGGTTACTGACCGATATGGCTGCGCGGCCAGGTACAGTCCGCCGCGGCGGGTGGATTTCGTCGCTGATCATCCGTTTGCCTACTTCATCGTGGAGGAGGAGACCGGCGCCGTCGTCTTCGCCGGCCATGTCGTTGACCCCTCGAGAGAAAGTTAGCATTGTACGCCCAATTTCAAATACAGTGCGTTTGAGATGATGGCCAAATTTTGCAATTATTTTTGCATTTCAAAAGCGCCTACAAAAATTCTTCGACAGAAAAACAGTTAGGATTCAGTTCTTCAGTTCAGTGGTCTTTTAATTTGTACAGTTATTTTAGCATTTCAAAAGCGCCTTTAATTTGTACAATAAGCATTGCACCCTTTGAACCCTTGTCCATATTCCTCGTCGGCTAGCCTAAGGCGGTGAGTTCGTTGCTTTAAAATGCATGTTATAGTAAGGAGAATTTTTAGGTTGCATAGGTTGCGTTGCCAATTTGCAACCATGTGTACGTTTTTACTGTACAAATGGATGGCATGTTGCAGTGGTCATGGATATCTTTTGTAATTGTCATGTTCATGCTGCAAAGTTGTTTTCATGCTGTTGCATGCGTTGGATTAGTTCTATGGTACATCAGTGCGAGGATTCCCTTACCGACTATTTGCAACCAATGAGTTTGTCGCATAGATAAGAAATATTCCATGGTGTGTTCTATATGTTCAAACATTTTTGCATGTTTTTAAAATACGAGGAAAAAATGTTGCGACGTGTTTATTTTTGGACCCCCCTTAGCTGACAGCCTCCGGGAAGGGTGGCATTTGTGAACGATTTTGATGGCATTTTTAATTTGAGGGAATGACAGTTTCTTCACAGTGACAACTGTTATCAAAAAGGGTTCGCTCGCCACCGCAAGTTAACTTTTTCGTTATTTCTTTAACACAATACAGACATGGACGCTCATACATACACATACCTCTATGAATGCACGCACTACCCATATGAGCACCTCTGAAAGACTGAATCAACACATCATCTTGAGATTGGGAAGTCGACACAACGCCTTCGTAGTTGATAGAAACATCCCCTCGCACTAAATGTACATTGCCGGAAGGACTGAAATAAATTCAGAAAAATACGAGCGCCAGTGTCAAGTCTAGGTCTGGAACTCTGTTGGGCTGTGGGCATACTATTGTCCTCCTAACCACCACCACAAGTTAGTTCCCAATGTTGAGATGATGTTACATGTGTAGAAAAAAAATGTTGCTCATAGCATTTCAATGCTAAAGAATAGAACGCTCTAGATGCCGAATATGAGGGAGATCTGCCGACGAGGGAAATGGTGAATCGGGCGTTTTGAGTGGATGCAAAAGAATACTTATGATTCATATAAACCAAACAACTCATATCCCTGTAAAAAGAACATGTAAAAGAAATTGAATCCTCCAAATAATCAAAGAGTCTAACTGTGCTGTGTAATCGCTTTGCTACCAAATTTTATCGTTTTCAAGTTTCAACCATGTGAGGACGTGTCAATGCAATCCTGCGACTTGTAAAAATCTTCCAATCAGAGAGGCCCCTCAATCCTTCACATTTACTAGCAAAATATGTTACCCGTGCTCTGTAATTGCACCGGCTGCTCTAAAAGCTCCAGCTAAAGATGCCAATTCACCAAAGAGAAATGAAGCCATTCCATGACCGCCAGATTAAATTCCCATGCTCAATGCTAAACATATTGGCCCCAAATCTACAGTAACGCCTATAATAACTGTTCCCTTGCTATTCTTCCTCTTCCTCCTCCTCCGGTGTGTGCTCTGGAAAAACTTGCTGCGCGGTCCACACGACAGAAAAATGGCTTCCGACAGCAACCGGAAGGCTCCCTGCGGCAAGCCTCAGTTCCTCAAGGTGCTCTTCACGGACTTCATGGAGAAGATGCCGATCCCGGCCAAGTTCATGCGGCGGCACCTGGCAGCGGAGCCCGGGCTTCGGCCGGCCACCCTGATGAGCCCGTTGGGCAAGTTCTGGCATGTCGACGTGGTCCGAGACGGCCACGGCGACGACAGCGACGTCTACTTCGCCGGCGGCTGGGCCGAGTTCGTGAGGGCCAACAGGCTGGAGGAGGAGAACTTCCTGGTGTTCAAGTACGAAGGGAACATGGTGTTCACCGTGAAGGTGTTCGAGACGTCCGGGTGCATCAAGAACTACGACGACCTTGTCGTCGCCGGCGCATTGTTAGAGCAGGCAGCACCGAGGAAGCGGTCCAGCACTGGCTGTGGATCGCAGCCTACCTCCAAGGGCCATGGTACGTCTCGCTTCTTCTTCTCAGAATGAGTTTATGTGTGAATGTGTTTTTCCTGCAAAGATATCACGTCACAATTGTCAAGTCTATATTATCTTTAAGAAATTAACAGTGTGACTATATATGAAGTATGATCACACGATGGAAAACAACAAACTTCTTTGTTCTCAACAGAAGTACACCTCATGAAAAAATTAAAGGAAACCAAGATCATGTAGAATCTGCATTTTAGCCTTTTAGGACTTCTTTGATTCACATTATTTGTAAAACGAGTGTCGTGGCATATTGAAAACTACTGGATTATATGGTCATTTGGTTGTGCACAAAAAAGCGTAGGATCCATATTGAAAACTACTGGATTGTTCACATGATTTCCTACAGAACCTAGTACTCCCTCCGATCCATATTGGTTGTCGCATGTCTAGATACATCCGTTTGAGCGACAACTAATATGGATCGGAGAGACTACAAACAAATCCTAAAAAATATCCTATGGATTGCAATTGCAAATGAAACAACATACGTAGGAAATATTCCAAAGGATCACAATCCTCCAAAATTCCTATGCAATTCCTTCGAATTAAAGGAGGCCCTAATAATGTTCCATATTCTCAGTTCTTATAAATGTCTACTTGGGATGTTAATTTCACTAACTGAGTTACAATAGCTTGGAAGTGTTGATGTTTGACATTCTCAATTCTTATAAACATATCTTTTTTTACCCTCTCAAAAATATTACTAAGATTTATTTATTTTTGATACAGACCCTTTACGCTTACTTGTGGAGACCAAAAATATTAAAAATATATAGAATGTTTTTTTTCCTTTTGATGGATAGAAGTATACTTTCACTCATCAACTACACCCAAACTTATGTCACAGAAAAAAAAACAGCTACACTATAACTCATAGTGAATATTTGTGTGAGAATATGGCGAATGTCAAATAAATCACAATCATTGTGAATAGGTGATGTTCCCCATTCAACTACATACCCAAAAAAAAAAAACCTCAACGTGTCCCGAAAATACAACTCCTGCATACGTACAGATAAAACACCGCTCACCATTTCCAATATTCTGTGTAAACAAATCTGCACATATATACCGGGTAGGTAGATATAGCGAGCGTAAAAATCAGGAAGATTAATAATGGAGCTTATCTTGTATGTTTCGCAGGTGGTACACATGCTCAGAAAACCAGGAAGGTCAGTGACAGGAGCCTTACCGGTGATGGTGCCATACAGGCAAAGAAGCAGTACAAACCTCGCAGGATTCTGATGGAAGAAAATGATGGCGAGCAAGATGCCACCACAGAGAAGTACGCCCAAGCGGACACCCACTCCGGCATCGCAACGGAGGCCAAGGAGTCTGACTACACCGGCACCCTCCCTTTCTACGCCAAGACGGCGACTCCTTGCAACATTCGCTACAGCTACATGGCAAGTTCTTTAGCTGGTTCAAAATCAAATCTATACTCTCTAGTTCAGATAGATATGCACTGTGAACTTATAGTGTTTGTTTTGGCTTGGGCCTCGTGTAGAACATCGGGAAGAAGTTCTGTGTCATGAACGGCATCGCGACGAACCGGCTGATGATACTCAAGGACTCGGGCGGGAGGTCGTGGCCCGTGAAGCTGACGCTGACGAGCGACCAGGCGCGCATGAAGGCCGGGTGGGGCCACTTCTCCGGCCACCACAGGATCAAGGTCGGGGACCTCTGTGTCTTCCACCTCGTCGACGAGCACACCTTCAACGTCAGCATAAGGAGGGCCGAGTAATAATGAAGTGTTTTGGCTACTGGTGCTCTGTGTGGGATGTGTCTTTTTTCCATACTGTCTTGGATTTGTCCCTTTAGGTTTGGTAATAATAATAATAAAGTGTCTCGGGTTCCAAACAGCACGCATTTTAGATGTAACCACATACACTAGTGGAAACTCGCTGACAAACAGAGCAACAAATGAAACCATATAAGGCAGGTGAATGAAATGGAACACAGTGAATTCATATCAATGATCTCAGATATGTAGAAGTGCCATTAGCATGCAAATAAACAAAAAGAACAAGAATGTGACATTGCTATGTGCCATACAGGACTAGTTTATACTTCCAGGCACATGATTTCACCATCTGAAGACCATATGCAGTCAATGGAAAAGAAGCAAACGATATACTGTGCAAAAATAATTTGGTGATGGTTTAGGTTAGACTATCAAAATCTTAAGAAAAGGCAGCAGTATGCCTGTTCAACACAAATCTACAGAGTAGGCAGCATAGCAGAAACACGATTATGTTGTTAATGTTTCTTTCATTGGCATACATATTTTCCTCAAACAGGTTAATGCTGTTACATGATGTTTCCCCAAAAAATATTATTTTTCTGCCGCTTCACAAGAATTAAACAAAGCAAAAATGATGAACAAATGGACTGTTGTGTACTAAGTACCAATATTTGCATTTTGTGATCTTATACTGCAGTGTGCGCATCATGTCTGGAGCAAAAGGATCCTGATCAAATCATCACACCGATCACCTAAAAGAGGGGGCAATTAGCAATATGCTTCACACAAAATTTGAACTCCATGACGACGATAGGGTATTCACTGCGTTAAACGAAAACTATGATTGCAAATATATTATCCATAATTACCTCTATTGAAACTTTGGAATGCTAATAATCACTTGGATTTAATCAGCGCCATCCAAATAATATTCACATCCAAGGTGATGCGTGGACCAGGCAAAGATCACTTCCTGTGTATACTGCGCTGGCATCATGACCACTTGCCAGCTAGTGATCACATGTTGCATCTTCTCCTGCTGTATAATTTCAAATGATGCTTGGCTCTAAGGGTGGCTGATTACATACTGCAACATTGGCAGACAATATGGTATCTCCAAGAGCTGATGTATAAGATTAGTAACACCCGTCAACAATACCATGATCCTACTTTCCTTCCTCCAGTTTATGCCACAAGAACTGGATGTTTGACATTCATCTCGATGCAGGATCATCTCCAAATTTCAATTTGTCTGCTCAATTGATCTTCTCGATTCTGCAGGACCACCCAGTGAAGTTGAAGACTGTTTTCCTTGGACTTGGATTATAGTTTTAACAGCCTAGCCATACGTAATTTCAATTTGTCTGCTCAATTGATCTTCTCGATTCTGCAGGACCACCCAGTGAAGTTGAAGACTGTTTTCCTTGGACTTGGATTATGGTTTAACAGCCTAGCCATACGTAACGCTGCCCGAACTTTCCTCACGTCATTCTGAAACCCTGCACTACGAAGGCCAGCAATGACAGCACGCTTTGCAGATGCAAGAACACTGTTCCCTTCACGCAAGCAGATCCGCAAGAATTTGGATGCCATATGATACCTACCCACCTTACATAGACCATGGACTAGTGATGTGTAAGTAAAATCATCCTTCAGCTTCATGTTGTGAAGTAATTTGATGGCTGCATCCACCTCATCAGATTTGCAGAGTGCGTCCACCAAGCAATTGTAAGCAACAATATTTGAATCCATGTCCCTTATCTCCATGTAACATAACTGCTTATGTGCAGCCTCGAAATGTCCCATCTTGCACAAACCATTGACCAAAATTGAGAATGTGTACTCATCACTCTCCAGACCACCCTCTTCCATCATACTCAGCAGCTCAAACGCGTCATCCAGCTTCCCTTCCTGGCATCGCAGGTAAATCAGCGTATTATAGCATGCACTGTCAAGCCTGAACCCACTCCGTATCATTAGCTCACTGTAGGTATTGGCTTCTTCCATCCGTCCCTTCTTGACTAACGCACTAATCACCGTGCAGTATGGGAAGAGATCTGGAATGTACCCTCCGTCCAGCAATGACAAGAAGGTCTCCAGCCCCTGATCAAACCTGCCGTACTTAAAGCAGCACTTCATGACCGTCGTGTAAGTGACGACGTTCGGGGCATGCTTGGTCCTCCCAAGCTCCCTGAGGACCATGCGGGCGTACCCCACCTTGCCTGACTTGCACAGCCCATTGATCATCGTGTTGTAAGTCACAATGCCCACCGGGAGCCCCGTCCTCTGCAGATACCTGAACATCCTGTACGCGTTGATCGCGTGACCGAACCTGAAGAGCCCGTCCAGGAGTGTGTTGTAGGTGGTGGCGCACGGCGCGACGCCTTTCTCGGCCATATCGGCAAACACCCGGTAGGCATCCTCCGGGTGGCCAGACCGGAACAAGCAGTGCATGAGCGCGTTGTAGCTCCAGGCGTCGGGGGCGACCCCCGCCTGGAGCATTTCGTCGAACAGGTCGAGGGCGCGCATCGTGAGCCCCCTCCGCGCGGCGCCGGCGATGAGGGAGTTGTAGGTGACGGCGTCGGGGCTCACCCCGGCCTCCCGCATCCGGCGCAGGACGGAAAACCCCGCGTCGAGGCCCGAGGCGCGGCAGTGCGCGGCGAGGAGGGTGTTGTAGGTGACGACGTCGGGGGGCATGCCGAGGCGGATGGCGTCGACGAGGACGGACTCCGCCCGGGCGAGGCCGCCGCCGCGGCAGAGCGCCGCGAGGCAGACGTTCATGAGCCGCGTGGACAGCCGCGTCCGCGCCCAGGTCATTGCTCCCCCTCCGCCTCCTCCTCGCCGCGAGACTATCTTCCGGTTCCGGGCTCGCTTCGACTCCCATACAGCTCGCTCGCTGTCCAGACCAACTTGCCGAGTTCGCGACGAGCAAGGCCGGCGCCTTGTTATGGGGCAAGCGCCCGGCCGCAGGAGGCGGCGAGAGGTTGGTGGCGGCGACGGCGCCGCCGGGTGGTCGGGGCTCGGGAGGGAGTTGGGAGTTCGCACTTCGCAGACCGCGCAGCGAGGGACAGACTAGAGAGAGAGGCCAGGTGGGCCACGCATGTCATAGGCGGCACGGTCAGACAAGTAGGGTTCATTTCGCCTGACCCAACAGTCAGTGAGTATAACAGGAAAAGGAATTAATTCAGCACCTAAAATCGATGGGATTTCCTTCAAAAACTATCGTACGAAAGATTCACAACAAATTGGAGAGGAAAAAATCATTCTCATTCACACTAATGCTTTGAGCTATGTTACAAAAAGAACGAAACATCGTTTGTGGTACAACAATACCTGTGAATACAATGAAAAAATCAGGAAATCGGCAGGATCATACATACTCAAAAATCAAAATGTCGGACGGCTGAAAAAAATAAATCAAAATGTGGCTCGAGGAAAAGGCAGGTACAAAATTATACAGGCGGAGCGCAGACCAGGCCTCACTGTGCCTTCATGGCTTTCTCCTTGCACAGCTGGTGCCACTCCTGGAGCACGGCTGCTTGGAGGGCACGGTGCTCGGCTTCCTCCGCTGTGAGCTTGGAGAGCGTGGAGGGGCCCTTGGGGTTCCCAAATCCGTCCAACTCCTCGCTCTGCTTCCTCTCCTCTTCCTCTTGCTCGGTTTTCGCGGGCGGCATCTTAGGTTTGGCTGCCTTGAGTAGCGCTATCCTCTCCATGGATATCTTCAGTCGCTCCGCAGCTGTGCTCTTCACCTCCTCTTCGGGCATGTATTCAACAGCGCCGTCCGTGATGTCGTCCAGCCAGCCCTGGAGGTCCGACTCGATCTCTCTTGTGATCGATTCATCAGATGCACGCACGACAAACTTGCATATCATCGTGGTTGTCTCGTCACCCAGATCTACATTTCGGCTCACCTCACTTGCACCGAAGATCATCATGCCCACAAACCCACCAAACCATGTCTTTGCGGCGTAACACAACTGTGGAAGATACATGTGTTATAACCTTACAAAAATGGTAACGCTGCACAGGATAGAATCAAGACCATGACATGACACCGTCTAAGTGATTATCAGTCAAATGCTTACCTGGAACCCAGCAACTGTTCGGATGAAATGAGAGCAGACTTGATGGAAGGGCTTGGAATAAATTGACTTCAACCCACTGAGGAAAGGAGAGCTATCATACTGCTGAGCAGCAGTGGCCTTGAAACCGCTACCTTCATATGTGTATGTGCCAGTGCACTCAACCATGGCTGGCAAGCCTGGCCATAGACGGAAATACTCAACTGGAGAGCATTCATATGGCAAGAGAAGTTCGGCGAGAGGGATCTTGTAGGGCTGACACCGTAAAACAACCGGCTCCCCAAGCTCTGGCCGGAGCGCGCGCTTCTGCCTCGTCATTTGTGAGTCCTCTTCTGCATAATCTCCTTCATAGTCTGCCGATCCTCCACTTCCGTAGAATGGGTAATACAGGACTTGAACCCAGAGAGAGCATCTCTCAAAATGTGAAACTCCCACAGTGACACTACTTTGGACTGGATCCTGCAGAATTGACAAAGCATTTTCCAAATAAATTAGATGCAAATATGGATTAGCCAATCTGAGATGGCAGTACTTACCCAATGATATAATACTCCCTCCGCCCGGAAATACTTGTCACCAAAATGAATAAAAGAGGATGTATCTAGACGTCTTTTAGTTCTAGATACATCCCTTTCTATCCATTTTGATGACAAGTATTTTCGGACGGGGGGAGTATTTATTATCACTATTCTATTTTTATCAATAGCCCACATTTTTAGCGCAACTCATCTGGAAACAAGATACTGTCACTGGTAGTTAAGTTACTTGAAAGCCGCCGCAATGCTGGATGGCCTGGCTCTTTGAAAATCACTTATATTTAACATCATGATCATTATCTGGTGTGCAATATAATGTGAGCTCAACTGGCTATACAAGTATACTACATTGGGAGGTGGTGGTCTTTAAATTTTGCCAGGAAATAGATTGAGAAGTTCACTAGCCAAGGAAGAAAATCTTTCACTGTAAACTATATTCAAATAATATATTTGCAAACAAACTGCGGCCCTACATTTGTCTGCCCATTCTGACTAATGACAAATTCTTAAATATTTAATTACTGATACATAATTGAAATTAAACTGCACAGTAAAAGCATATGTAAACAAGGCATTTCAAGAGTCGTGGAGGCACCTGGGAAACAAGATTACGCAGGTGGCGAACAGTGCGGGAAAATCCATCCATATAATACAGTGCTCCAGAGAGCCCAACTCGGATATCCACCCTGTTGAGTTCCAGCTCAGTCAAATTCAAAATCTGCAAAAGTGTACATTAGTTAAAAAGGGCAATCATACAGCTCAAAGTCAAACAATACTATGGCTTACAGCAAAACCATATGTCAGCAGCCACAAATATTTGTTTTAATTTCTCACCATTTTACCGGGTGGCAAAGTGCACATAAACTATGCAGGAGCAATAAATAAAGATATAAAGTTCCTAACCTAACCAGTGATCAACAGTAACCATGAAACAGCAGTACAGATCAATAGAAATTATGTTAAATGTACACGGAAAAGATCATCATCTCATCGATCAGGTTATACCTTTAAATGTAGGGTGATTCTGCCATCAGTTGGATCCGCCAAATGATATGCTTCGATGTAACATGGATCACTGCTGCCAGTCAGAGTGCGTGCTTTTGGAAGATCTTTGTGCAAAGCACCGATACCCTTCGTCTGTAGGAGCGTTAACTGGCTGGGATTGGGCCTCCAAAGCTCCTGGATGGCCTTGTGAACTAATCCCTCCAATTTCCTATCTTGTGCAGCAGCAGCCTCTGAAAACTGAACTGTAAGCTTGTGGTGGCTAAAAGGGTAATCTCCTGTAGCATCACCTACACCAACCCACCTGGATGAAATATTGGAAAGTTAAACATGGCAGTTATTTTTTTTTTCAAATGCATGTTCGTAGAGAATTTCTTTTTTTAGATACAGAACTTCTGCAAATAGTGCAGCCTGATGTAAAATAATTAGTTTGAAGTGCAACCCTCACCTGTTATCTGGATGATTCGTCACATACTTTATTATCTGCAAGACATAACGTGACTGATGCTTGGTGACAGAATCAGCTGAAGTACTTGACCTGAACTCCTCCAATTCTTTACTGAGGAGCTGGCCGGCTCTTGCATTTCTGGTTCCCAAACGCTGAGCGCATATGAGGACAGCCTGCACATCTTGTATCCTATTTGATGTAGTGGCAGAGGAATCGGTGTTGAATAAAGTCTTATGCATGTTAGATATGATGATATTCAGAGGATCCTCTGGGTCATCAGCTAAAAGAGGATCAAGACCTTCAAGATCAAAGTGTTCAGAAATTGCCCATATCAGCCGTGATGATATTCTTGAGGTATGAACCTGAAACATTTATTCACGTTTAAATATAGGCCAATCTGGATTTAAGAAAAGGTACTGAAGAACTGAGGGATTAATGACACCATTGGTCTTTTATCAATCATCTCTAACTAGAAAACAATCTTTACAGAATGGCACAGTTTAAGCTACACCTATTTGCAGTGGAAGATGAACAAAAGTGTACAAGGAAACCAAACAAAGGCAGGCATAGTGAGATCCAAACGCAGGTAAATCCTTGACAAAGTAGGTGCCATTAAGTTAGTAATAAGTAAGAGTACTACGATTATACTGAATTAGTAATGAAAAAGAATTGGCATAGAACTAGGTGGGATCAGGCAAAACATTTTTTTTATGACAGTGCATTACTCCCTCATTTCCAGTTTATAGGGCTCAATTCAAAAATCTCACCAACCAATGTAGATGGTGAGTGGTGGAATACTTTTTGTAGTTTGCAAAAACACCCAATTAATGCTCTTATTTTTCTCAAAAATTATGTTTACCAATGTATTAATTGCAATACATGCATGCATAAAGTACATGCACTGGTCAATCTTCTCTTAATACTTGCATGCAATGATTTAATGCATCTTGGAATTTGAACATGTGATGGGGAACAACCAAATTGAGCCTTATAAAATGGAAAAACTAAAATTTTGAGATAAGCCCTATAAACCGGAAAGGAGGGAGTAGTAATGAATAAAAATTGCACCTTCAGTCCAACTGGTATTTAAATGCATAAAAAAATGTATTTGAACATCAGATAATGAGATGAATCATAACCTCGCGAAGATCCCTAATAAGCTGTAGCTGCAAATTTCGAAGTCTAGTCTCATTTAAAATCTGATCTTGAGATGCACCAGTCTTAATTGTCTTTACGCCGCCTCTGGTATCATATATATGACAAAGCCGTACAAGCAACTTCAGGTAGCAATCGATTGCATAGGTGCGCCCGTCACAGTCCCAGAGAACACAAGGCCTGCAAACTTCCACCACATCCAAAGCAGGTTCTGTCCAATTCAACGCACCGTAACCAGTTCCATAGGCTAATGCCCCTATAACTCTACTCTCTGTCCCAGAATTCTTCTGCTCAGGTAGTGGAAGAGATAGCTGGAAACAACTTTCAACCAGTGAGGCAACTAGCTCTTCTCTGAACAAGCTTTTGCTTGTTATGCTGTTTAGATCATCCTTCACCCTTGCATCCTCAAAAAGAGATATCACATCTGTTCCTGGAACGGGCTTCTGACCTCTTCGAACGCTCTCCTTTGCAAAAAGATCAACACAAAGGGCAGTTCGGCAAATGCATGCCAATGCATGCATTCTATCTGATTCGGCTCTCAAATTTTTCAGCATCTGAAGCAGCCTTTTGAACAGAGACACCTGCATCACAGAACATGCTTTTGTAAATCCATCTTGAACACAAATTTTCACAACACTTGTTCACTAAACTGAAATTGTCCCTCTCGCTATCTTCTTTACAAGTTATGCACGGAAGGAAGAAAGTGGTACAGATCTGCTAGCACATGATATGGCATGACTCCAATCAAATGAATTATTTTACATTTTAGAAACCCGGAAAAACGGAGAATATGGGGTGCATGGGCAACTAGTTGCCAGAATTACATTCCGAACATAGTAGCATTAATTGGTAAACAAGATGCCAATAGTATACTACTAAACCAGGTATCAAAGTAATGATGCATAACCATTTTACATTGGCTCCACGAGTTATAAATATTGATGATTATATGCTAAGTAATGTGAATGTTTTCAAAGGCCCAATACTTCTCTGCTTAATTTGAATGGATAGCGAGCAAACAATATTGTATCACCTATGGGCTTAAGTTGCTTAGTAACTGATCTATCATGACAATGTAAATCAATGCTTAGCCGATAAGGTTAATAAATAAACTTTGATTTGTGATATATAGTACCTATAACGATGTAAATCATAAGGTAATGCTCATGCTACGGAACACACCAACAAACTAGTTGTGATACACTAGCAAGATTTTTACTTGCCGTATTTAAGAGATGGCATCAAAAAAAAAGGGCAACCTGGTGCATGTAGCTCCCGCTTGCGCAGGGTCCAGGGAAGGGTCCGACCACTTTGGGTCTATAGTACGCAGCCTTTCCCTACATTTCTGTAAGAGGCTGTTTCCAGGACTTGAACCCATGACCTCATGGTCACAAGGCAGCAGCTTTACCACTGCGCCAAGGCTCCCCTTCATTTAAGAGATGGCATCAAATGATGAAAATTATAATTAATAAATACATATACTAGCATTTCAGAAAATCACTTTTTGTCCAAATAAACAGACAACAATCAGCACACGGAAATACAACCAACTAAAGCGCCGTTTGATTCACCGGTCTAACAACAAGAAAATAGATTTTTGGATTTTTGGCATAAGACTGAAATAGGAGATCATATGGGATAAGACTAAATTTGTTTGGTTCATACAAGAATGTCAGCTTTGAGATCAGAATTTATGAATCTAATAACTAATAACTCTTCATGGTACTGACACTCAAGATTTATAATACT